CAGTGATGAGAGCTGATTAGTGATGTCAGCACCTGTGTCTAGAAGGGCTGAAAAAGTCTTTTGTTCTCCCTCATGCATAAGATTAACAGTCACTTCAGGCCTGTTAGTTAAAGGTACAGTCAACAAAGCCAGTCCTCCAGTGGATCCAAAACCACCAGAGCCACGGTCTTGCACTAATGTGGGTCGATCATCCATGATCTCCTGCAGTGGCACTAATTGTGCAACACGGCTGCCCTTAGCAACATGCATAGGTGGAAATGCTGTTCGCAGAATTACGCTGATTTCCCCAACATAGTCTTGATCCATAACTCCAGGTAAAACAAACAGTCCTTTAAGTCCAGTAGACGATCGTCCTAATAAGAGGGCTCCAGACGGCTGCCCACCTATCAGGAGCGGTCCCATAACTCCTGTGGGTACCTTCTGTGGTCGATTGTCAAGCAGAGTGATGTCTACTGCTGTTGCCAGGTCCAGGCCGAGGCTCCCTCTGGTGGCTGGTTGCAGCTGAGCTGGTGCCTGTTGAGGAGCGCTGGCTGCACGTAGGTCGCGGGAGCCGCCATTGGGGTCTGCGCGCTGCGGCTCGGGGCGCTCGTCTTCCCGTTTCCCAACCGATTGCAAACGGCAGTGGCATGACTGTCTGCATGGCAGTTCTGACACCAGACGTGTGCCCCACACTGACGTGTAAAATGATCCTGCTGGCCACATCTATGACATTTATATTTATAGCCTGCAGGTTTACCGCGCGGGGATGGGGGGTGTGGGAGGAGCAGGGGGTGCCGGGGCGCAGGGTCTGGGGTTGCTCCGTTGGCGCACCTGGTCGGAGCGGTGAGCGATGCGGCGGGATGTGCAGCTCCATACTTTGTTTCCAAACCCCTGTGACCGAGACCTTGCTGAATTTGTGGCTTCCCTGTGGAAATTAGATCTTTGGGACGTCTTTCTATCTCTCTCTGTGTCCCGATTCCTTAATTCTTTCTGCTCTGCCCTGTACGGGACCAGATGGGATACACCCGAGGGTGCTGAAGGAGCTGGCTGGGGTGCTCGCCAGGCCATTTTCTATCGTTTACCAGCAGTCCTGGCTGACCGAGGAGGTCCCGACTGATTGGAAATCGGCCAATGTGATGCCCGTCTATAAGAAGGGTCGGAAGGATGATCCAGGAAATTACAGGCCTGTCAGCTTGACTTCAGTACTCGGGAAGCTGATGGAGCAGCTCATCCTAAACACCATCATGCAACACATGAGGGACAACCAGATGCTCAGGCCCAGTAATTCCTCTCTTGTCACCTTGTAGTCTGTTGCTTTTGCTCTTTCTCTATCTCACTGTCTCTGTTTCCCCTGTATTAGAATCCGCCCCCTCTTCTTTCTGTATGCATCAGGATTAGGTTTTGGCTCCATGCCTCTTTTTTATTGTGTCTCTGTCCCTGTTTCCTAATTCTTCCTTCTCTGCCCTGTAACATGTAGCTATGTGGTTTGTTTTGTGTTTGTCCCCTGCCCTTTCCCTCAGTCATTTGCTGTCCTGGCTCCCCATCACTGTTGCTTTTTCCTCACTATGTGCCCTATTCTTTGTGGCTTTTTTGTCTTTTGACATCTTTCTTGGTCTAGCTCCCTGCCCCTGTTCTTTTTTCCTCTGTGTCTATTGTGCTGCCCATCCCATTTTTTTTTCTGCATCTCTGTCCTGCTCCTCATCCTTCTTTGTTGGTCTCTGTCCTGCTTCTCCTTCCTCTTTCTGCTGCCTTTTTTCTTCTCTCCCTGTTGCTTTTTTTCTCCATATCCGTGTTGGGCTCCCTGTCCCCATCCTCTCACCACCCTGTTCCTCACCTCTTGTTTTCTCTCAACCCCCATACTGGCCAGCCAGCTGCCTCTTTTCTCATCTTCTAGTGTCCTGCACCACGCTCCTCTCTTTTTGCAGTCTTCAGCTCCACCCAGAAGCCCATTACTCCAGGAACAGGCTGACTGTTACCGGCTGGACTGAGGAGCGTGGCTCTGGGAACAAGCGCCAAGGTGTGCCAGGGGCAGCATTAGGGGCCCTGAGCCCCGGAGCAGACTCACTCCCTTCTGGGACTTGTTCTGTGTATGACTGAATAAACACCTGCTGGCTGCCTTTTGTGCTTCCTTTGCCCTGGGTGAGGGGCTGGGAGGGAGCCCAGGGCAGGGGTGATGATGCTCTGTGGGGGTGGGTGATGGCCTCCAGCTGTGGGCTGGAGCTGGAGGGGCCCCAGGTATGGGCAGTGAAGCTGATGGCAGTGGCCCCTCACTGTAAAGGGGTTGCTCCAGGTGGAGAGGTGGGTGCTGCTGTTGAAAGCAGGGCAGCCATCAGAGGGATTAGTGTCAACCAAGGGAGTAGAAGAGCAGTTGCTGAGCGTTGCTGGGCGGTGGCTGCACCGAGGGAGAAGGTGAGTGGAGCCGTGCAATCAGCTGGCAGCTCCTGGGGAAGGAGCTCGTGGGGAGGGTGGTGGTGCCTGCAGGGTGGCACTGCTCGGTGTTGGAGCTGGTGGCAGGGGCTGCCCAGAGCCGGTGGTGGGGACACTGTGGGTCAGGCTGTCCAGGGCTGCACGTGGTGGGGCTGCTGGGTGTGCTGGGAGGGGTGAGCAATGGTGTCCCTGCAGGGTCAGAAAGCAGGGAAAGCTGCCTCTCACAACACAGCGGGAGCTGTAGTTCTGGTGTGTGGGGTTTCTGGCCAGCCATGTTGGTTCCCTGGGTCACGCTGGGATGTGTGGTCTTACAGCACTTGGTGTGCAGGCGGCCGTGCTGTGTTGGCCAGCGCGTGCCAGGAGCTGTA